AAATAAATAAATAAAATCTTAAAAAAAAAAAAACTACATAAATTTATTGTCTCACAGTTATGGATGACAGAAGTCCGAAATCAAGGTGTCAGCAGGGTCATGTTCCCTGTGAAACATAGGGGAAACCTTTGCCTCTTCCTCGTGTCTAATAGTTGGCTGACAATCTTTGACATTCCTTTCGTATGCAGCTGGATAAATCAATTTCTGCCTTCATCATTACTTGCTGTTCTCCCTAGTCTCTATCTTCACATGACCGTCTTCTTATAAGGACACCACTAATACTGAATTAGGAGCCCACTCTCTATTAGTATGACCTATTCTTATCTGCATCTGCAATAATCCTATTTCCAAATAAGGTCACTTTCTGAGTTACAGAGGCTTAGAACCTCAACATTTTGGAGAGGGGACACAATTCAACTCATAATAGTATTTCAGAAAATTAATTTAAAATTATTGGGCATAACTGTATTAAAATTCACAGGATGGTCTAAATAGCATAGTGGATAGGACACAACAAAGGGTCACTAAACTTGAAGATGGACTGATAGAAATCACCCAATTTCTGAAAGAAAAAGAGAGAAAAAGGATGAAAGTCACAAACTCTTAGCAACCTAGGAGGCCAATCAAAAGGCCTAACAATGGATAAGTAGAGTCCTAAAAGGAGAGGAGAGAATGAAAATAGGTCAGAAAAGGGCGCCTGGGTGGCTCAGTTGGTTAAGCGACTACCTTCGGCTCAGGTCATGATCCTGGAGTCCCGGGATCGAGTCCCACGTCGGGCTCCCTGCTCGGCAGGGAGTCTGCTTCTCCGTCTGACCCTCCCCCCTCTCATGTGCTCTCTCTCTCTCTCTCTCTCTCATTCTCGCTCTCTCAAATAAATAAATAAAATCTTGAAAAAAAAAGAAAATAGGTCAGAAAAATATATTTGAAGAAATAATGGCAGAAAACCTCCCAAATTTGGTGAAAGGCATAAATTTCAAGTTAAAGAAACTCTAAGAATGCCAAACAGGATAAATACAAACAGCAACAAGTCTAACATTAGCACAATCTGCTAGAAATCAAAGATAAACAGAAAAATCTTGAAAGGAGAAGAGAAAAAGAGCAGATTACATACTGGGGAACAATACCAAATACTGCATACTTGTCAACAGAAATTACAAAGGCCAAAAGAGAGATGAATAACTTCTTTAAAGCAAAGAAAAGCAGAAAGCCTGTCAAACAGAATTCTATAATGAACAAAAATATCCTTCAAGAAAACAAGATGAAATAAAAACTTAAGCAAATAAAGAAAAACAAAGAATTCATCACCAGCAGACCCACATTACAAAAAATGATGAAGGAAGACGTTCTTGAGACTGAGGGAAATGACATTAGAGGGAAACTTGGATCTTTAGGAAAAACTAGAGAGTAGGAAATGGTATATAAGTGGGTGAATATAAAAAAATAAATACAAAATTTTAATGTAATGGAGGTGTCTTCTTAATTTCTCTAAAACATATATTAAAACAAAAATTATAAGTTGTAGGTTTTATACTAAAATTTAGATGTAAGACATATTAAAAGCAGCTGGTGATACAAATATCGGACTTACATGGTTGTAAAATGTCTACATTTTTATGTGAACTGATAACATATTAATTCTAAATAGACTATAAAAAGTTAATAATATGAATTGTAATCCTTAGAAAAACTGCTAAATAAATGTTGAAAAGAGTTATAGCTACCAAGACAATAAATTAAAATGGATACTAAAAATGATTCAAGTTGTCCAAAAAGAGATAAGAGAACTGGAACCAAAAAATTAACAGAAAACAAACAAAAAAAATAATAAAATTGGAGACCCAAATCCAACCATATCAATAATTACATGAAATGTTTTTAGTTTAAGCATTCCAATTAAAAGGGAAAGATTGTCAGGATGAATAAAAGAGACCCAATTATAAGCTTCTGGAGAGATACACCTTAAGTTTACACAGATAAATGAAATTAAGTTAGTAGGAAAAGATCTATCTTGCAAATTAAGCATAAGGCGGCTGTAGTGGCCTTAATATAACATAAAACGGGCTTTGAGGTAAAGAGTATTACCAGATATAAAGAAGGATATTTACTGGGGCGCCTGGGTGGCTCAGTCGTTAAGCGTCTGCCTTCGGCTCTGGTTATGATCCCAGGGTCCTGGGATCGAGCCCCACATGGGGCTCCCTGCTCTGCGGGAAGCCTGCTTCTCCCTCTCCCACTCCCCCTGCTTGTATTCCCTCTCTCGCTGTGTCTCTCTCTGTCAAATAAATAAAATCTTTAAAAAAAAAAAAAGAAGGATATTTACTAATGATAAAAAAGGTCAATTCATCATGAAGCCAATATTTATAAAGTTATACAAACATAACAAATCTCAAAACACATGAAGTAAAAATTTACAAAGGCTAAAGGAAAAATAAACTGATCCCACCATCATGGTAGAAATTAACACTCTTTCTCAATAATTGATGGGAAAAAAGAAGACCAAACTATTAGTAAAGATAAAGAAGACCCAAAAACATTATCAGCAACCTTGCCCTAATTGACACTTATAGAACCCCAAAACTGCAGAATACACATACTTCATCAGTGCCATAGGCTAGGCCATAAAACAAGTACCAATCAATTTACAAGGATTGAAATCAGAGTGTGTTCTCTGACTACGATGTAAGTAAATTTCAAATCAATAACAATGTGTAAGAAAACTCCAGATACTTGGAAATTAAAGAATATATTATTAAACAATCCATAGGTCAAAGACTAAATCACAAAGAAATTATAAAATATTTTAAACTGAAGGATAATAAAACTACAAAATACCAAAATTTGTGGGATGCAGCAAAAGCAATTTTAGAATTTTATAGTTTTACGTGCTGTTATTAGAAAAGAAAGGTTTCAAATCAATGTCATACAAAAAGTTTTCAAGAAAAGAACAAAATAGGGAGCCTGGGTGGCTCAGTTGGTTAAGCGACTGCCTTCGGCTCAGGTCATGATCCTGGAGTCCCAGGATCGAGTCCCGCATCGGGCTCCCTGCTGGGCGGGGAGTCTGCTTCTCCCTCTGACCCTCCCCCCTCTCATGTGCTCTCTCATTCTCTCTCTCTCAAATGAATGAATAAAATCTTTAAAAAAAAAAAAGAAAAGAACAAAATAAATCCAAAATAGAAGAAAGGAAAATACAAATATAAAATCAGAAATTATGAAGTAGGAAACAATAGCAAAAAGTAAAGAAGCTAAAGCTGGTTCTTTGAAATGATCACAAAACTGGTAAACCCCTAGACAAATTAAGACAAAAAGATACGAAAATCACCAATAGCATAAATAAAAGTGGGGTTATTACCATATATGCTAGAGACATTAAAAGAATAAGAAAATATGACAAATTCATGCCAATAAACTTAACAACTTAGATGAAATGGGGAAAATTTCTTAAAAAATACAACTTAACAAAACTGAAATCAAACGAAATGGGAAATCTGTATAGTCCTATATCTATTAAATAAGTTGAATTACTTATCAAAACCCTTCCCACAGAGAACATTCCAGGCCCAAATGGTTTCAATTAGTGAATTATATCAAATATTTTTTAAAAACCCACCAACCTTACATGAGTAATTTCAGTAAAGCAGAAGAGGAAACACTTCCCAATATTTTACAAGTCTACCATAACCCAAATACCCAAACTTGAAGAAGAAAGAAAAGCAGAAATCTTAATTCAATTCGTTCAAAAGTGAACCAAGTTGAGGAAGCTGGAGACATTTATATAATAGTTGGCAGCTCACCACCTAAGCACAAAGGTTCACTACTACTAGCTATTTTGCCCGTAGCTGAAATGTAACATACCTCAAAAATAACACGGAGCACTTCGGACTCTCATAATCCCATGTTGTCAACGCCGATTCTGACTCTTCCTTCCGCTGCGGGGTTGGGGGAAGAAAAGAAAATTGCATTCATGAAAAAGACAGCCACCTTTCTTGAACACATTTCGGAAGGGTCTTCCTTTAAACGAGTCTTCTGGCAAATGGGTAACAAATTTGACCCTTCCGTGAGAGAGGTGAGTTTTGGCAAACGGAGATGCTGCGAACTGGCCCCCTGGGCCACCTATACAGCCCCGTGGACCCTCAGCCGACCCTCCGTCCAGGCTGGGCGGCGCTGGTGGGCGCCACGCGTGACCACCTGCATCACCATTTCCAGCAACCGCTCTCCTAGGCCCATGCCCTCGGAAGGGGGGGGAACTCGGGGTCCCCTCGGTGTACCTCCTTCCTCGGAACTACAACCTCCAGGGAGGAAATGGGGGAGCCGGGGTCAGGTTCGTCAAAGAGCAGGAGAGACCTGTCCCTAACAGGCCGAGGGAAGATGGCGCTGGCCCGGGTTTCCGCTGCCCCGGGCGCTTGACCCGCTGGGCCTCCCCGAACGTAGGGAACCCACGGCCGAGGCCCCAAATCAGATTCAGACAGCGAAGGGGCGGAAGCCAGTTTGCTGGGTCCTGGGGGAGAAAAAAAGGAGAGGCCTCTCGGGCCTATTTGAGTCCTCGGCTCCGCAAAGCCCGGGGCGTCCAAGGACCCCAGCCTCAGGAGCGACGCCCAGCTTCGCACACTCCGGATCTATGAATTTCCAGGACTCCCTGGAGCTATCCCCCTCTCCCCAGCCTGGAGGCCCCGTGCTCTTCTGTGAGTTCAGTTAGGAAAAAAATGAACGTGAAGAAGCCTCAACTGAGAAGCCTACCGAACAGGCCCCTTCAGGCCTCGTCAGGCCCCTCGCGACTCGCTCCCCGCTCTGCCTCAGGGGCACCCTTTCCCGCCGTCCCTCTGCGCATGCGCTACCGCCCCGAGCGCACCCTCTACTAACCAAGCTGGGAATTCCTCCCCTCTGCCCCAGCACCCCCTTCTGCACTGCGCATGCGCGCGCGCGTGCCCTCTGCCCGCTTCCCCACTTGGTTCCGCTCGCGAGCGCCCTGGCCTGCCTACTTACCCCTTTAGACCATGTGCCCAACACCCTTCCACCTGCGTGCGCTGCTGAAACCAAGCTTTTAGCCGCGTCCCTGGTCTGGAGCATGCGCTTTGCTTCCACTGCCCTGAGTGAAGTGATGAGGGTGAGGTGGGAAGCTTGTTCTTCCAGGTCATTTCTCTTGCTTTCAAACTTTTGGTACTTACTTAAGCTTCCCCTACTACTACCCAGACCTAAAATATGTGTCCAACAAGACAGACATGGGCCTTGCCTTCAGAGAGCTCAGAAACCTACTGGGATTGCAGATGTGAAGTATTAATAAAGGGTAACCTCACTAAAATTGAGTCTGGAGGCCAGAAAGGGGAGCTCTCACACCCTGCCACTCAAGTCAATTGTAGACCCAACAGGAAGAAACATACCTTGCAGGGGGATACTACTTGACTACCCCACCGGAAGGAAAGAAGGAAGGAAGGAAGGTTTTCTCCTACCCAGCAGGTGGATACTACTTGACTACCCCACCTGGAGGGAGAGAGGGAGGGAGGAAGGGTTTTCTCCTACCCAGCAACACCCCAGCCAATGGGAGACTGTCACAACTCAGCCAATGAAAAGTCACTACACTTCAAACTCCCAGTTTGCTCGGAGATCTGTGTTTACAAAAGCCCTCCCAACTCTCCCCCCTTCCATAAAAGAGTAGTTTTCTCCTTTTTTCTTGGATTTGTCTGTGGTTTTGCCATAGCTTGCTTGTCCTGAATTGCAATTCTGTTAGTCCTGAAAAAAAAAAATCATTTTTTGCTGGTAAAACAACTGATAGTTGTATCTTTAAGGTTAACAGTACTTGATGATCACAAGTGGGATCCAGAGAAGACAACCCCCCCCCAACAACTCCAAAGCTGGCGAGCAAACACATGACAGTACCCACAGAGCCAGTTGAGTTCACAAATTTCTTGAGGACCCTGGAGTTTGAGGGTAAGTTTTCTCCTGGATTCCAAGCTCCATTCTCTGTGTTTTCAGCTTTCTAGGCATTACTTTGGGTCTGTTTTAAGACTTTGTCCTCGGGGTGCCTGTGTGGCTCAGTCATTAAGCGTCTGCCTTCGGCTCAGGTCATGATCCCAGGGCGTGGGATGGAGTCCTGTATCGGGCTCCCTGCTCGGCAGGAGGCCTGCTTCTCCCTCTCTCTCTCCCCCTGCTTGTGTTCCCTCTCTCGCTGTCTCTCTCTGTCAAATAAATAAATAAAATCTTAAAAAAATATATCTGTTTTTAGGGTTGTCTCTTTTCCTCTTCGTCCGTTTGTTTTGTTTCTTAAATTCTACATGAGTGAAATCATATGGTATTTGTCTCTGACTTATTTCCCTTGGCATTATATGCTCTAGATCCATCCATGTTGTTGCAAATGGCAACATTTCATTCTTTTTTATGGCTGAGTAATATTCCATTATAAATCTCATCTTCTTTATCCATTCATCTATCGATGGACGTTGGGGCTGCTTCCATAATTTGGCTATTATAAATAATGCTGTAATAAACATAGTGGTGCATATCTCTTTGAATCAGTGTTTTAGTATTCTTTGGGTAAATTAAATACCTAGTAGTGGAATTACTAGATCATATGGTAATTTTTTTTTTTTTTTGAGGAACCTCCATACTGTCATCCATAGTGGCTGTACCAGTCTGCATTCCCACCAACAGTGCATGAGAGTTCCTTTTTCTCCACATCCTCATCAACACTTGTTTCTTGTGTTTTCGATCTTAGCCATTCTTACAGGTGTGAAGTGATATGTACTTGTGGTTTTGATTTGCATTTCCCTGATGATTAGTGATGTTGAGCATCTTTTCATATGTCTGTGGCCACCATCTGTATGTCTTTTCTGGAGAAATATCTGTTCATGTCTTCTGCCCATTTTTTTTTAAGATTTTATTTATCTATTTGACAGAGAGAGACACAGCAAGAGAGGGAACACAAGCAGGGGGAGTGGGCAAGGGAGAAGCAGGCTTCCCACCAAGCAGGGAGCCTGATGCAGGGCTCGAACCCAGGACCCTGGGACCATGACCTGAGCTGAAGGCAGACGCTCAACGACTGAGCCACCCAGGAGCCCCTCTGCCCATTTTTAATTGGATTTTTCTTTGGTGTTGAGTTGTACAAGTTCTTTATATATTTTGGATACTATGCCTTTATTGGATATGTCATTTGCTAATATCTTCTCCCATTTAGTAGGTTGTCTTTTAGTTTTGTTGATTGCTTCCTTTGCTGTGCAGAAGCTTTTTATTTTGATGTAGTACCAACAGTTTATTTTTGCTTTTGTTTCCCTTGCCTCAGGAGATGTATCTAGAAAAATGTTGCTAGGGCCAATGTCAGAGAAATTACTGCCTGTGCTCTCTTCTAGGATTTTTATGGTTTCAGAAATCACATTTGGATCTTTAATCCATTTTGACTTTATTTTTGTGTATGGTATGAGAAAGCAGTCCAGTTTTTCCAACACCATTTGTCTTTTTCCCACTGCATATTCTTGCCTCCTTTGTCAAAGATTAATTGACCATATAATCACGGGTTTATTTCTGAGCTCTCTATTCTTTTTTTTTTAAGATTTACTTATTTATTTTAAGATTGTATTTATTTATTTATTCATTCATTCATTCATTCATTTATTAGAGAGAGAGTGAGCATAAGTGAGTGGAGGGGCAGAGGGGGAAGGAGAGAATCCCAAGCAGACTCCGTGCTGAGCACAGAGCCCAATGCAGGGCTCAATCTCACAACCCTGAGATCATGACCTGAGCCAAAACCAAGAGCTGGATGCTTAACCAAATGAGCCACCCAGGTGACCCATGGCTCTCTATTCTGTTCCACTGATCTATGTGTCTATTTTTGTGCCAGTACCATACTGTTTTGATTACTACAGCTTTGTAGTGTACCTTGAAATCTGAGATTTTGATACTTCTTTTTTTTCGAGATTGCTTTGGCATAGACATATCTTTTGGGGGGAGAGGGGCAGGGTATCACCATTCAACCCACTACAATCAGTACAGAAGCAATTGTAATTATTTGTGTGGAAGATGATGAGAGCCTGGATTAGGATGGTGGCCTTGCAGACAAGTGGGTGGATTTGAAATGTATATTAGTAGTAGAGCATAGAGGACTTAATGATGGCTTAGAAGAGGAGTTCAGGGATGAGGGATGGTGAATCAGTGTCCTGAGATTTGGACTTAGGGCTATATAAACCAGGTCTGGGTTTCAAAAGGCCCTCTCAGGCCATGTGGGGAATGGACTGGAGGCGAGAGACTAAGACCAGGGAGGAGTCTGAGGTTTGGGTCCAGGAGGAAGAGCACAAGTCCTGAGCCAGCCCAAGCCATGAGAACAGAGAGAAGTGGAGAGAGCAGAGAATCAAGAGGTAGAAAGGATTGGATTATAGAATGATGGGCTGTATGGGAAAGAGGGAGAGAGGGAATGAGGACATCCACCCAGGGGTTGGCCCACCAGGGAAGAAAGAATCTGTGAACTTGAAGACAGATCTCTTGATATTATCCAGTCAGAGGAGAAAAAAAGAAATAAGAATGAAAATACAGGGCGCCTGGATGGCTCAGATGGTTAAGCATCTGCCTTCGGCTCAGGTCATGATCCCAGGGTCCTGGAATTGAGTCCCACGTCGGGCTCCCTGCTCAGCGGGGAGCCTGCTTCTCCCTCTGCCTCTCTCTCTCTCTGTCTCTTATGAATAAATAAAAAAAATCTTTTTGTTTTTAAGATTTTATTTATTTATTTGACAGAGAGATACAGCGAGAGAGGGAACACAAGCAGGGGGAGTGGGAGAGGGAGAAGCAGGTCTCCCGTGGAGCAGGGAGCCCGATGCGGGGCTTGATCCCAGGACTCTGGGATCATGACCTGAGCCAAAGGCAGACACTTAACGACTGAGCCACCCAGGCGCCCCTAAATAAATAAAATCTTTAAAAAAAGAATGAAAATACATTTCTGAGGATCTAATGTACAGCATGGTGACTATAGTTAATAATTCAGTATTGTGTACTAGAAAGTTGCTGAGAATATCTATTAAGGGTTCTCACCACCAAAAGAAGAAAAAGTTAACTATGTGCGATGATGAACATGTTATCTTGAGCTTGGTAATCATTTCACAGTGTGTATGTATATCAAATCATTATGTTGGGCACCTCAGTGGCTCAGTCCATTAAGCGTCTGCCTTCAGCTCAGGTCATGATCCCAGGGTCCTGGGATCAAGCCCCAAGTCGGGCTCTCTGCTCAGTAGGGAGCCTGCTTCTCCCTTTCTCCTTGCTCCTCCCCCCTGCCCATGCTCTCTCTCTCTCCCTTTCTGTCAAATAAATAAAGAAAATCTTTTTTAAAAAATCATGTTGTACACTTGAAATATATAAAATTATAATTGTCAATTATTCCTCAATAACATTGGAAAGAGAAAAAGAGGAAGTCCAGAGCCAAAAATCAGAATACTATTAATATGAATTGATTTTTGATGACATTAATAAGAAAATAAATTGCATTTGGAGGCTTAAAAAAAAAAAAAACAGTGGATGAGATCTCTCAGAAAGAGAAGGTGCTGGGTCTCTAAGAGGCACTGGTTTTCCAGGACCTGGGTGGATATCAGGATGATAGGAACATCCCCAAACATGGAAATCTGACTTGATGAGAGTGGGGGCTGTGGGGCAACAGGAGAGACTTTCAGAGGCTGCTGGGTGTGTGGCTCAGGTCTGGAGACAACCAAGCACTCAGACCTAGATCTAACTGCCAAGGTCCCAGTTCAATCCTGACTCCTCCCCAGCCTCCCCTTCTTGGGGCCCAAGTGCAGATGCAGGAAGTACTGCTTGAGGCTCAGCTTCCTCTCCGGGTGTTTTGGCACAGCCCAGCCACCCCCCTCACTCCCAGGGACCTTCCCACTTGGGGCACTGCAGCACTTTCACTTCCCTCAGGTGCCCAACCCCTGCCCCAGCATATGGGAGCACCGCGGTCTACACTTGTTGCCAAGAACAGGATGCAGACTCTGAGAGAGGGGCCGTGACAAGGTGTATGTGGTGGGGGGGGAGGGCAATAAGCAGAGAAAGGACTGGCATGCAGAGAGAAGGGGCCAGAAACCCAGAGAGGGAG